GTTACAGAATCAGGGCATGGACTTGCATGATAATTAGCATGTGTAATTAGGCGCAGGCTTCTTGTCCCTTAATTAGATAATCAAGACATCCAATTACAAAATTAAGATGTAATTACGTGGCCCAAGATCTACATATTTCTTTCTAACCCATCGGAGATCACATTTAGAGAATAATTCATAAAATGGTTGAAGAAAGGGGCAGAGAAGCCGGACTTGAAGATGTTGGGGAAGGTGGTGAGATCGGCCTCTTTTTCTCTGAGGCGAAGGGGAGTTTCTGTTATTGATTTATTTTAGGTTGGGGGTCACACCCAGCGGTGTTCAGGACTTACTCCTGGCTCTGTGCTCAGGAATCACTCCAGAGGGGCTTGGGAGACCCTATCGGATGCTGGGGATTGAATCTAGGTCGGCCACATGCAAGACAAGTGCCTTACCCCTATACTGTAGCTCTGGCCCCGCATGTGCCTCTTTTTTTATGACTTTTGGTTCCACTTGAACTTGAAATGTCCCAGGAAACCCTTTCAAGCTAATAATAAGGCCGGAGAGAGCTGTCCCTTGAAAGATCTCCGCATTGCTCAGAGGAACTTGAATCAAGCGTCCCGTTGGCTGGGCCTTTGCCTGAGCAGTGGGGCCTTGGATGAGTGTTCCTTGTTGAAGTGCTTCTCACTGGGCTGCATGGAGGAACGAGGAAGGTCAAGGACGTAGCCAACATTCCCGCTGGCTCCTGATCACTGAGTCCCCTGAGCCACATTCCAGGACTGAGGGAGCCGGGAGGTCACGCCCGCCTCTCTCTCGCTTTCCTTGTTCTCGTATCAAGCTCTGGCCCATGTCTGCAGGATGCTGAAACACCCAGTTTGACTCATTAATTTTTCTGAATTAGCCGAACTTTTGACCTAATTGGCTGGCTGATTAGGGATTGCAGCCATATGTCTGGGTTTTGCTAAGCCTGTTTTGCTTTTAGTCCTCAGTCCCATAAACGGCTGAAAGATCTTAGTAATTCCTGTGTTTGACAGCTATCCTGCCCTTCTTAGCACACCACTTTCTCCTGAAAAGTGGCACGGGAATCTGTGGGCCACGTTTCCTGGTGTTGGGTTAGAAAAATATACTTCCCAGATGCTCGCAGTCCGTGAAATCAAAGCTGTAAAGAGGTTGTAAGCGGCTTGGGGGGGGGGGGGAGGAGTGTGTGTGTGTGTGTGTGTGTGTGTGTGTGTGTGTGTTTAGGGGTCATAGGCAGACCCTTTGTTCCTGTGTTTTATTTTTCTCTGTCAGACCATGGAACGTGATGGGCGACAGATTCCATGCAATCAGATTCTGTGCAATCAGATTCCACGCAGGGATCAGTTTTGACCAAGAAAGATACAAATTTGCCCAGGAAATGGACTTCTGCCACTGTTGCTTTTTGCCTGTTTTCTTCTATCCCTTTCTCTCCCGAAACAACTGTTTCCAGTTGGTATGGGCCAAGACTTGAGGGGGCTCAGGCCACTCCTGGCCATGCTGAGCCTGAGCTTCAGGCTCCAGAGTCAGCCCCCAGGCCTGGCGGGGTTCAGAGCCCACCCAGCCGGCAGAGGCAGAAGGTGTGGGGGTCTCATGCACGCATGGGAGTGTGGGCTGAGCTCTGTGACCTGAGCTCTCCCTCAGACCTCCAAGCGGTACTTTTATTTTTTATTTTATATTTTTATTAAAAAAATTTTTTTAATGAGTCACCATGAGATACAGTTACAGACTTACAAACTTTCCTATTCAATCATTGTATGACCAAGTGTGACCAAGCGGTACTTTTAAATGGGTTTTGTGTGTTTGTTTCATTGAATCACCATGAGATTCAGAGTCACAAAGTTGTTCATGACTGAGTTTCAGTCATACAGTGTTCCAACACCCACCCCTCCCTTTTTTTTTAAATGAATTACCTAGGGATACAGTTACAGATTTACAAGATTTCTGATTACATTTCAGTCATACAATGATCAAGTACCATCCCTCCACCAGTGTCCATTCTCCACCACCAATGTTCCCAGTATCCCTCCTGCCACCTCCCATCTCCACCCCCCCGCCCATCTCTGTGGCAGGCACATTCCCTTTTATTCTCTTTCCTTTTGGGTATTAATCACTTAATCACTTAACTTCCCCTTAGTTGTCGATTTGCTCCAGTGGGCGCCAGTAGCGTCTCCATTTGTCCCTGTCGCGTGCTAGTGTAGCCCAATGGCATCTGTTCGCTCTGGGAACATGAAGAGCCTCAAACCGATCGTTCATGATCTTCACGAAGAAGTCTGACCATCTGGTAGGTGGGCGGCCACGCGGTCTTTTGACATCCCGTGGAATCCAGTCAGTAACAGCTCTAGTCCAGTGGTCGTCTTTAAATCTCATTACGTGACCAGCCCATCTAATTTTTGACACCTTGGCAAATGAGACAGCGTCCCTGATTCTTGATCATCCACGGATGTCGAAACTCCGGATTCTTTCTCTCATTTGAGTGAAACGTGATATTCCAAGCATAGCTCTTTCAATTCCTCTTTGGGAGACCCGAATAGCGTTCTCATCCTGTTTGCGTAGGGCGCAGGTCTCTGAGGCATATGTTAATGCAGGAAGAACAGTGGAATCAAAGAGATGTGCCCGGAGCTGGAAGTTCTTCATCCTCTTAGCTATTTCTTCGACGTTCTTGAAGGCGTTCTAAGCCACTCTCTTCCTCCTGCGCAGCTCGGGTGCAAGGTCATTTGTCATGTTGACTTCTCGACCTAGGTACACATAGCTGTTGCATTCGGAGATGGTCGTTCCGTTGAGAGCGAATGGGGCATCAGGAACGAGGCTGTTTCTCATAAACATTGTCTTCGTAAGATTCAGCTGTAGTCCTACCTTTCCACACTCACGGTCAAAGTCGGCCAGCATTTGTGCCGCTTGGCTGATGTTTGGTGTTATTAAAACAATGTCATCAGCAAAGCGGAGGTGGTGTAATTGCCGACCATCTATCTTCACTCCCATTCCTTCCCATTCCAGTCGTCGCATAATGTTTTCTGATTACATTTCAGTCATACAATGATCAAGTACCATCCCTCCACCAGTGTCCATTCTCCACCACCAATGTTCCCAGTATCCCTCCTGCCACCTCCCATCTCCACCCCCCCCATGTTCTCGAGGGTGGCACTGAAGAGTTTCGGTGAAATGGTATCACCCTGCCGAACCCCTCTCTTGACATCAACGATCATTTCTTTGTAGAATGGTGAGATCCTGGTAGTGAATCCGCAATACAGCTCACGGAGGATCTTGTTGTATTGGGCTTGAATGCCCTGATTGGCTAGGGCTTTGATGACCACTTCCATCTCAACAGAATCAAAGGCCTTCTTTAAATCAATGAACATTAAACAGAGCGGCATCTTGAACTCCCGAGAAACCTCAATGAGTTTGGTTATCGTGTGGATATGGTCGATGGTGCTGAATCCTTTGCGGAACCCGGCTTGCTCGCATGGTTGTCCTTCATCTAGTGTTCTGCCAATCCTATTTAGGATGACTCGAGTGAACAATTTGTAGATGAAGACAATAGGCAGATAGGGCGATAGTTGCCAATGTCATGGATGTCTCCCTTCTTGAACAGTAGTACGGTCCTGCTGGTTTTCCATTGGGACGGAACCTTGCAGTCAGACAGGTAGCGAGTGAAGAGCCGAGCCAGTGTATTGATGAGTACTGATGGCAGGTTCTTCAGGTGTTCAGGTCTGACCTTGTCTGGGCCGGGTGCTGTTTGTTTCTTTACCGACGAAATAGCGTGTCGGATTTCGGAAGGGAGAACGTTGGGAACGACATATCCATCCTGTGGAATTTGGTATGTCGGCAAGTGGACATGGCTATCGAAGAGATTTGAGTAGAAGTCATGGATAATCTTCTCCATTGCCATTCTGGAGGATGTGATGGATCCATCAGGACGTCGGAGGGCAGTCATCTTGGTCTTGTAGTTGGCGAAGGACAGGCGGGCGTAATGAATACTTTCCCCAGCTTCTGCCGCATCTACCAGTACTTCTGCTCTTCTCTCTTTGAGGTCTTCCTTGATCGCATCTCTGCACTGCTTTGCGTATTGGGTATTATGGTTCACAATATGGGTACTAAGTGACCATCATGTCTGGTCCATAGCCTACTTTCAGCAAGCATCTCCCATCCCAAGTGAGTCCTCCAAGCATCCTTTACTTGAACACCTGCCCCTTTACCAGTGCACATTTCCCACCACCAATATTCCCATTTTCCCTCCCACCAACCCCTCCACCCGACCCCATTCCCAGCCTGCCTCTATTGCGGCGGGCACTTTCTCTCTCTCTCTCTCTCTCTCTCTCTCTCTCTCTCTCTCTCTCCTTACAGGCACTGTGGTTTGTAATACACGTACTGAAAGGTTATCATGTATAAGTCTTTATCTCCTTTCAGTGCTCAGTCTTGTCCAGAGTGATCATGTCCAACTGTCATTGTCATTGTGGTCCCTTCTCCGTCTTAACTGCCCTCCCCACTCCCGCTCCCCCTCCCCCACCCCACTTGTGACAAGCTTCCACCCTTGGACCTCCTGGCTCTCATTTCTAATGTCTTTTTTTCAGATGGGGAGGGGGGAGTTGAGCCACACCTGGCTGTGTCAGGGCTTACTCCTGACTCTGTGCTCAGGGACCTCTCTTGGTGGGTTCAGGGACCATATGTGGTATCTGAGATTGAACCCGGGTTGCTCGCATGCAAAGCAAATGGCCAACTCCTGCCCCTCTCTCTGGCTCTTTCAACTTGAAATGTTTCCCCTTATTTCTGGGCAACTCACTCTCACTCTGATGTCTCTCTGGAATCAGAGCATGAAAAAAAAAGCTTCGTTTCTCAGTATTTGTTTGACAGTGCTCTGCGCTTAGGGATCACTCCCGGCAGTGCTTGGGCAACCAAATGCTATGTTGGGGATTGAACCCGGGTCAGCCCCACACGAGGCTAGTGCCCATCTTGCTGGACTCTCACTCCAGCCCACGCTTCTCAGCGCTTCCATCTCTCTCCTCGCCTAGGTATTCCACATCGGCCTTTTCAAGGCTGGAGAAGCTGGGCATCCGCCACCCCAAGCCTTCTCCTTTCATCGGCAATCTGGCATTCTTCCACCAGGTAAGGACGGTCTCTGCCTCCTTCCATCACTGAAGGAGCCCGCTGCTGAATCCCCGCTCCCCCGCAAAAGGGTCCCTCCCCTGCCACGCCCCCCGGGGATGGCCTATGTGGGAAAGTGCAACGAACCTCCCCAGGACCCAGTGCCCACGTGGTCCCCTGATCTGTGGCTGACTCTCCATCCACAGCCACACACCCTGCCCTCCTTCATCCATTCACTAAGGCCCTTTAATGGGGACGCTCCTGGGGCCAGGTTCAGTCATGTAGGAACAGCAAGCACTGTGCTAGCCTTCAGGCTCTGCATCGAGTGTGGTGGGGGACCTCGAAGTGGATAGACAAACAGAGGTGGGAGCTGTGACTGTCCAGAGGGGAAAGAGAAAGATCCATCAGCTCTGCGATCATCCCAGGGGGCTTCCTGGAAGAGGGGGTCCTGTAGGTGTCATAGACACAAAGACAAGGACATCCAGACAGGAGCAGAATGGCAGGGCCTGTGTGACAGAGCTGCCTGGCTGATGGAGAGTCTGGGGAGTGAGGCTGTGGGAGATGCATCTAGAAGCATCTTAGAGAGGTCGCTGACAGTGTTCCTGCCCTGTCTCTGGGCACGGGATCCCCGGGCGGGCCCTGCTCTGTCCGTTAGACCTGCAGAGCCCAGCTATTGTGGGGACGTCGCTGGGACCAGCCGAGAACTGAGCCCGACAGGCGAGGAGGGGAGCGAGTACAGGACTGGGAGGTCCTGTGAATATGTTCCCGGGGGCCCCCATATTCTCACGGGGCAGAGGGGGAAGGGTTCAGTAGCGCACCCAACTGCACAGGAGCATTTTTCTCTTAATGTCTTTTTGGCCAGACCAAGGGGGATGGTCTGGCCAAGCCCGGGGAGATGAGGATGGATGGGGGGAATGAACTCCGGGCCCAGTGAATTCGATGTGCCTCGAGCTGGTGAGAGAAGGAATGGGCCAGAGGACAGCTGGTTCGGGCAGCTGTTCTGGGGGCTCCTGGGTGTGCGGGATGGTTGTTGGGGACCAGGTGCTACCAGGGACAGAACCCAGGCCTCCCTCCTGTCTCCAGAGCTGCGCTCCAGCCCTCTGAGCTCTCTCTGTCCTGCCCAGGCCTGAGGAAACACCCACTCAGCTGCGTCTTTCTCCACTCAGTTTCCCTTCCCTTCCCTTCCCTTCCCTTCCCTTCCCTTCCCTTCCCTTCCCTTCCTTCCCTTCCCTTCCCTTCCCTTCCCTCCCCTCCCCTCCCCTCCCCTCCCCTCCCCTCCCCTCCCCTCCCCTTCCCTTCCCTTCCCTTCCCTTCCCTTCCCTTCCCTTCCCTTCCCTTCCCTCCCCTTCCCTTCCCTCCTTTCCCTCCCTTCTCTTCTCTTCCCTTCCCTTCCCTTCCCTTCCCTTCCCTTCCCTCCCCTCCCTTTTCTCCATTCCCCTCCCCTCCTCCTTCCCTCCCTCCCTCCCTCCCTCCTCCCTTCCTCCCATCCTCCTCCCTCCCTCCCATCCTCCTCCCTCCCTTCCTCCCTTCCTCCTTCCCTCCCCTCCCCTCCCCTCCCTCCCTCCCTCCCTTCCCCTTCCCTCCCTTCCCTTGTCTCCATTTCCTCCCCTCCTTCCTCCCTCCCTCTCTTTCTTCCTCCATCGCTCCCTTCCTCCCTTTCTTCCTTCCTCCCTTCTTCCCCTCCCTCCCTCCCTTTCACCCTCCCTCCCTTCTTCCCCTCCCTCCCTGCTTCCTTCCTTCCTTCCTTCCTTCCTTCCTTCCTTCCTTCCTGATTTCCTTCCTTCCTTCCTGATTTCCTTCCTTCCTCCTTCCCTTCCCTTCCCTTCCCTTTCCTTCCCTTCCCTTCCCTCCCCTCCCCTCCCTTCCCTCCCTTCCCTCCCTTCCCCTCCCTTCCCTTCCCTCCCCTCCCCTCCCCTCCCCTCCCCTTCCTTCCCTTCCCTTCCCTTCCCTACCCTTCCCTTCCCTTCCCTTCCCTTCCCTTCCCTTCCCTTCCCTTCCCTTCCCTTCCCTCCCCTCCCTTCCCTTCCCTCCCTTCCCTCCCCTCCCCTCCCTTCTCTTCCCTTCCCTTCCCTCCCCTCCCTTCCCTTCCCTCCCTTCCCTCCCCTCCCCTCCCTTCCCTTCCCTCCCCTCCCTTCCCTTCCCTCCCTTCCCTCCCTTCTCTTGTCTTCCCTTCATTTCCCTCCCTTACCCTTCCCTCCCCTCTCCTTCCCTCCCCTCCCCTCATTTCCCTCCCTTCCCTTCTCTTCCCTTTATTTCTCTCCCTTATCCTTCCCTCCCCTCCCCTCCCCTTCCCCTCCCCTTCCCCTCCCCTCCCTTCCCCTTCCCTTCCCTTCCCTTCCCTTCCCTTCCCTTCCCTTCCCTTCCCTTCCCTTCCCTTCCCTTCCCTTCCCTTCCCTTCCCTCCCCTCCCCTCCCTTTTCTCCATTCCCCTCCCCTCCCTCCCTCCCTCCCTCCCTCCCTCCCTCCCTCCCTCCCTCCCTCCCTCCCTTCCGTCCTTCTTGCAAAACCCAGTATTCTCAGGGCTTGCCCCTAGCCCTGCACTCAGGAATTACTCCTGGCAGTGCTTGGGGGACCATATGGGATGCCAGGGGTCGAACCCAGGTCAGCCAGACCCCCTTCCTGTTGAGTTTTCCCCAGTGTCTCCTGCTTCCTCAGAGGGCCGCTGCCCACCAGGAGCCGCAGATCCCGCTCCCGAGTGGCCGCTAAGCCCCACAGGGCAGGAAGGGCTGAGCTGGGCCATCCCGATGACCTCCTTCTATAGCCTGTCCCCAGTCCTGCCTCAGAAAGGCTGGCCCCAGGCACTCGATAGAAGGTGACACGAGCTATTTCTGTCCCCTGCCTCTCCCTGCTCAGCTTCTTTTCTTGTCCTTTCTGTCGCCTTTCTCCCTCCCGTCTCTCTTGCCTCTCTTGCCGCTAGGGCTTCTCCAACACCTTCTAGCTCACGGCGGCCAATGCACGACTCCTGTCACCAACGGCGACCGCATTGGCTGCCCAGAGCCAGGGGGGAAAGGGGTGTGTCAAAATAGGACCCCACACGGGGCAGGGAGGCTCAGCGACGGGCATCTCATGAATCGGGGGCGGGGGCCGGCAAGCTGTGGTCAGCCGAGAGATGAGGTCAGTGGCAGCATGTGGGGGAAAGCAGGTCAGCCCTCCGCCGCTGGGTAATTTCTACCTAATGTGTCTTTCAGCTCATCGTCCTTGTACACACAAACCCTGCCAAGTACTTTTCGTGACTATATTTATATTCCTGTAAATGCTCCTGGGTAGGGAGCAAGGTGAGACAGAGCCGTTTAGCAGATTTAATGAGAACGGGATGTGTGAAGGACACCCACCCCTTCGACCTTCTCCCCCAACTCTCTCCTCTCCCTCAGCCCTCATCTGCCCGAGGCATCCATGCCACAAGCCAGCCGTAGCCCTTGCGTGCCTCCGACCCTCTGCGTGCAGAATTGGTGGCAGCTTTATTCCTACGGTACCAGAGACTACCACATTTCAACATCCCGCTCCTGCGTGAGCCCCGGGGTATATCTACACCCCCCACTGCAACCCCTCTGCTCACCCCACGTCCCTACACGACAATGCTTCTAGAATGTTCTAACCCTCTGTGCCACTGGTAGCCATGCTGTCCCCGCTACAAACGAGTCTCATGGTTCATCCTCTCCCCGAAGTCGCTCTGAGCGGCTTGTGTTTCGAAATGTGGCTGTTAATTACAATTTAAATCGAATCACGCTAATTCAGGATTGGGGCTGATTTGGAGAGAGACTCAGCAGAAGTTTACCCAGCGAGCGGCTGGGAAAGGCGGCTTTGCCAAAAATAATAATAATATAAACCCAATTGCGAAGAGGGAATGTTAACATCGTTGAGAAAGCAAATCGTTTTCAAATATTTTAGTTGCAATTATACATAAATAGTTTAAGTACCAACGATCTCTTATGTCCATTAAAGCAGAGCTGGTGGAGACTTTCCTGCACAATCTGATTTTTTTTTTTAAGCTACTAGTTTGTTCTAATACTCTAAAGTCCTCGAAAGCCACAGCACTTCAATTCTTTTTTATTTCTGTAATGGGTTTCTCGCTGCTCCAGAATTGTCTCTTTAGCTAAGTCTGGATGCTGGGAGCCAGGCCGAGAGCTCAGAGCTGCAGCTCCTGCCTGATACCCGTGAGCTTCCCACTTATGATACTGGCACCACCTGGCCCCGGGGCACTGCCAGGCGTAGCCCTGGGATGCCCAGATAGCATCGCGTCCCTGGAGCCAAGCATGACACCATTAGGTGGCCCCAAGAGCCCTGGATCATTGCTGGGAAGACACCCCCCTCTCCCCCGATGTACGAATGCTCGTCATTTCATGGAGTCTCACCACAGTGCTGCTTTCCGCAGGGCTTTTGGGACGGTCACCTGACACTCAGGAAGCTCTACGGACCTGTGAGCGGGTAAGAGGGAAAGCGGCGCCTGGCGGGATTTGGTGTTTGCTGATGGAAGAGCAGGGCGGTGGCGAGAAAGCCCCCAGAGGGAGGGCCGGCCAGGGAGCCCCCCAGGGTTGCCCGCCCAGGCACCGTGCTTGCTCGCAAGGACCCCACTCCTCTGCTTTAAACACCCCGGCTGACTGTCTGGGGCCCTGGTGCCTTTCTCCTCCCTGACCAAGACTCCTGGGGTGGACAGCCCCGTGGCCTCCTGTGCTTCATCTAAGCTGCCCTGCCAGTCCATGTGTGTCTCTCCACCTTCCCGTACCTGCTTTGCTCTGACCGGTGGGTAAGGATGCTGACCTGGGACTGGAGCGATAGCACAGAGGGTAGGGCGTTTGCCTTGCACGCGGCTGACCTGGGTTCGATTCCCAGCATTCCACATGGTACCCTGAGCGATTCCCGAGTGTAGAACCAGGAGTGATTCCTGAGTGTAGAGCCAGGAGTAACCTCTGTGCATCACCGGGGGGTGTGACCCAAAAAGGAAAAAAAGAAAGCTGACCTACTCTGGGTGCTGGGGGAAGTCCAGCACAGCCCCCCTAGGCTGGCGGGAAGAGATAGGGCCCAGCTCCACAGCTCTGTGAGGTCTACAGCCCACCCTCTTTAGTTTTTCTGTTTTTCTTCGATCTGGGGTCACACCCAGATGGGCTCAGGGCTTCCTCTTGCTTCTGTGCTCAGGGGTAAGTCCTGGCAGGACTCTGGGGATCCCATGCACTGCCAGAGATGAAACCCCGGGCCGCTTACGTACAAAGCGTGCACTGTCTCTCTGGCCCCTTCCCTTCAGTTCTGAACACCCTATCTCCCTGCTGCAGAGCGCACTCCTCTTTAAACGTAACCCCCCACCCAGACTCTGCCATGCAAGCCCAGGTCCAGCCCATTTTACCTCTTCGAGGTGCCAAGTGACTTTCCCCGTGTCCTGCCATCCAGAGGCCTGGGCAGTGTGTGCGGCCTCTGGGTAGTCCCTGCTGCTGCCCAGAGCTGGAGCTGTCGGCTACTCCTGTGCTCACACAGACCATGGTGTGTGAGCCTGTCTTGCCTGGTGGTCCGTCCACCAGGCTTGCCCTTGCCATGGTCATGTCCTAAGCTTGGACTCTTTTTTTTTTTTAAGTTTCCTTTTTTAAAAAAATTTTTATTAGTGAAACACCATGAGATACACTTGTAGACTTAGAAATTTCTGTGCTTGGGTTTCAATTATATAGTGAACAAATACCCATCTCTCCACCAGTGCCCATTTTCCACCACCAATGATCCCAGTATCCCTCCCACCCCCCATTCCCCCATCTCCCCCCGCCTCTGTGGCAGGGCATTCCCCTCTGTTCTCTCTCTCCTTTTGGGTGCTGTGGTTTGCAAAAGAGGCATTGAGTGGCAATCATGTTCGGTCTAGAGTACTTTCAGCATGCATCTCCCATCCTGGGCGGATCCTCCCAACACCCTTTATTTGGTGCTGCCTTCTCTATCTGAGCTGCCTTATTCCCTATCAAGCTTGAACTCTTGATGCAAAGGCCTAATCCGGAGAGAACTGTGTTTTTGGAACTCTACAAAAGTCATTTGTGAGATGAAAGTCACACAAAGTCATACATGCTCTTGGTTACTGCCCCATTCTGGAACTCCTTGTTGGCACCATAGCACAGGAAGCACAGCGATTCTGCCTGGGTCAGCAACAGATGTTGCTGGTTAGTTGTCCATGGGACCTATCTCTTAATGTGCCTTGCCACTTGGTCTTTATTTAACTTTTCTTTTTAAATTCTGTTTTTTTTTTAAGCATAATGGGTGCTTGCATGAAGGCTCAAATGATGAAACTGCTTTGCCCTTTATCTCTCTCTCTCTCTCTCTCTCTCTCTCTCTCTCTCTCTCTCTCTCTCTCTCCCTCCCACATCAGGATGCTCTCACCCCATGCTTCAGGTGTGCAAGCTCTGGGTTTGCCACTGAGCCCCACCCAGCTTCTCTAACTCTTGTGCTGTTCCATGGTTCTGAAGTTTCTTTCCTGCTGTTGACTCGACATTGGTATTCGGGATCGCCCTGACATTGTTGTGATATAAGGCTGGCTCTGGACTGCTGAGGGTCGCCTTCTCCAGAACTAGAAAAGGCATCCTTGAGCTTGGATTCTAAGAATCATTTCAAACAGTTTCAGAGAGAACCTCTGGGTTTTTTAAAAAAATAATTGAAAATGTCAGATGAAGGGTTTAAAGGTCACTGCATTAACAGGAAGGATGGTGTTGTGTGTGTGTGTGTGTGTGTGTGTGTGTGAGAGAGAGAGAGAGAGAGAGAGAGGATTGAGAGACGGAGTGGAAGCTGGTTTCCTTGACAATAGGCTGTCCAATTTCCCCCTCCCCCCTTTTAGTTAACACAATATATCTTTTTTCATTCCAAGAAAACTTAAATCATAGAATCACAGGGAGTGATTTCCAGTGCGATAGTAGAGATGGAAATGACAGTATCATCTTCACTCTTTGTTCCCACCTTTGGTGAAAGGGAAGGAAACAAAAAGGAAGGTGATGGCGTAATTTCTTCAAAGTTATCAGCCGTTCCCGCAATGGGGGGTGGCAGTGGGGCAACTCTGTCATCTCGGCGAGATTACTCGAAAGGAAAGTGGAAATATCCTAAAGTGAAGGTCCTTTCTTGACCTCAAATGATTTCATTGCTGCTTTGATCATTAGGAAATGTATCGACTCCAGATTACTTTTCTGCAACATGGAACTAGTAGGATGATGGATTTGACACGTACCACGCCACGCTAGGGCTGCCAGAGAGAGCACGTCAGAGGCTCCACGCTCAGTAGTTGGAGACGGGGCTCCTCTGTGCTCTGGACTTGAAAGCCAAATGTAGTGATTCTATCTAGGGTTGGAATCTGGGACATATTGGACCTGGGCTCCTAACCCTTTCCCTACCCCTCTCGCTGCTCTGGAAAAGTCTATGGGAGAGGCTTTCTGGCATGAGGTATGTGTGTGTGTGTGTGAGAGAGAGAGAGAAGGAGAAAGAGAAGAGAAAAGAGAAGAGAGGAGAGAAGAGAGAGATACCATTTGGATGTGTATTATTGTTAGCATGAGAGTAGGTTTACTCCTGAGCTCACGGGTTCTTGAAAATTGTATGAAAGGTTTGTTTGCACATGAAACTTAGATGCTTAAGAAGCTACAGTTGATTGTACAGTTTAAGTGGGTGGTCCAGGTCCTCCCTCCCCCATGTATAGCCTGTACCATAGTGTGATGTCACTCATCCTGTCCCTCAATGGCCAATCCAGCGTACGAAGTGCTTAATCTTGTCCCTGGCCATCTGCTGTGCTCCAGTGGATGCTGGCCTGGTCTTGCCCTCACCCATGCTCTGTCCAGCAAGCACTTTGCTAGTCTCAAGATCTGCAGCTGGAACCCTGTCACCTGTGTCCCCTTGCTGGGCCCGTTGTCCTGTGACTTGTCTCTGGAGCTCTCTAGGGCTCCCAGTGACTCCCTGTCCCCTTGGATTTCCTTAGTTTCTAGCTACATCAGGTGAGATCCCTGCTGGCCAGCCTTCTGTCTGTGTATGGGTAAGGGGACACAGAGGGTGCCTGGCAGGGGCTCCCTCTCATCAGCGGCCATCTCCCACCCCCAGCCATCCTGTTACCTATTTTGATTAGATGCCTTTTGGGCGGGTGAGAAACTAGATGACCAATTATATGAATCAGTTCACTGGAGCCCCTCGCAACCCCTCCCTACTCCACCCTATCTTTGTCACTGGTTCTACCACTCCATCCAAGAATCAACCCCTGTGCTTTAGTGGACATCTAAGTCTGTGTCCTGCTTGCTGGGTCCTGTGCAAAGCAAACATCACATGTGTCTCTGCCCTCTTTGAACTTGAATGGAAAGCAGGTAGATCAGCCTAATTGGACACTCTCTGGTAGCTACTGTGGTGACCAGAGGTTGCACAGAAGCCTGACTCTCTCTGAGGGTTGTGAGGCAGTTGCGTTCGCGTGGGGTCATGCGTATGCTTTAGTCGAGGTGCCTGCATCATCCGGGTTGAGGTGCTTATGAGTGTCACTGCCGGGCTCATGTTCGGGCCCGCCAGGGGTGGGACTTCCTGTTCACAGTCTTGTGTATCTTTCATTTGTGGCGCTCCCTGGGCTCACACCCCTTTGACTGTGGTGCACCCAGAAATCAAATCTGGGAACCACATAGAGCAGAGATACCAGGCCTGTGCTGGGTGCATTTAGGGGTCCTGGAGATTAAATTCATGACCATACATGGCATGTACTCTTAGCCACTGAACCAACCCTTGGGTGCCCTGCACAATTACTCCTAATTACTCCTAATACTGGAGTAGGCCTCTATTGAATGGCATGATAGTACCCATGACAACATAGTATTAAAAAAATCAAACATTTTTTGCTTTAGATAACCTTCAGTCAATTACTGATTGATTACTGAGTTTCTCCTTCAGTCTGAGAATGAGACCCAAATTGGATTTCTATCCCTTTTCAAACCCGAAAAAAAGCAGTAATCATCTAGGTATCTGAGGTTGAATATGCGCAGGATAAAGATGATGTTGAAGTTGACTCTGTAAAGCAGGGGAATGATATGCTTTTATGAAGCTATTTATTAGTCTCAATTACTTATAAATATCCACACAACACCCTAAGGTCCCAAGGCCCCTTTTCCTTCTGGTGAAATGAATCTAATACCTAGTTCTTGTGTGCATGGGGATAAGGGGTGTGGTAATCCCCAGCACCATGGAGCAGTTCTGAGAGATTGCTGGTGTTCTTCTACCCCAGTCAATTCCAGCACACTCATATACCACATCAGAAACCACGGTTCCACACCAACTGCCACGGTTCTGTCCCATGGGACTGCCCTGTCCTTGTCAGAGGCCACTCACGTTTAAGGTCTTCTCTGGGATAAAAAGGTTCTCATCATCTCATCCTGGAGTCCTTTGGTTTGCTAGAGTCACTCAGAGAACTCAGATGATTTTATTTTTTTAATTAATGAGACATCATGAGATACAGT